GGGGGGGGGGGGGGGGGGGGGGGGGCGGGGGGAGTACCCACCAGCTGAAAAAATTGTACAAGAAGGTGCCATGGAAGTATCCCAGGGGACGTTGGGTGGGTGTTCTGAAAAACCTGTGTGCGGCTGGGGGGGCTCTTTGAGGGCTAGTAGGGACAGTGCCCTGGGAAATGAAGCACACGGGGGATGGTGGGCGGGTGTCCTGCAACTGCCAAGGCGGAGCAGGGAAGGGGTGAGCTTATAAAGCCTTATATTGTATAGTGCTAGCATTACATAGTTAATTGTGGTTATCTGCTCGGGATTTATAGTTAAACTCTGCATATTCAGAGAGGATTTATTTATCTCCGTGTGTGTGTTGTACTGTGTATGTGATGTTTGTGTTCAGACGACTGGATATGTGTGAGTATGCTTAGTATAAGAGTGTACACGTGTATGTGTTGTGCAAAATGTAGGTGTTGGTTATGTATATGTTTATGATTACTTTCATACTGATGCATGTGTGTGTGTGTGTCTATAAGTATGTGTGTGTTCGTGTTTTTGTATGCGTGTTTTTGTATTCGTGTTTGTGTGTGTGTATGTTGTTCATGTGAGTGTGTGTGTGTGTGTGTGTGTGTGTGTGTGTGTGTGTGTGTGTGTGTGTGTGTGTGTGTGTGTGCGTGCGTGCGTGTGTGAACCGTACCATGCATGTGTTCTTTGTCCCAACATCACCCAATGGATGAGACAGTGACCATTGTGAGAGCTTTTGGCTTCCAGGAGCGCTAGATAGGGATGGCGTCTGTATGAGGATGGATGGAGAGGATATATGATGAGGATGGATGGGGAGGATAGATGGTGAGGATGGATGGGGAGGATAGATGATGAGTATGGATGATGACGATGGATGTTGAAGATGAGTGGTGAGGATGGATGGAGAGGGTATATGGTGAGGATGGATAGAGAGGATGGACAGTCAGGATGGATGTAGAGGAGCAATAGTGAGGACGGATGGACTGATGAACAGAGGGAAAGGAGAGAAGACTGAGGATTTAGGGGCTTAGGGTTTTCCTGGAGGGTAGTAGGCTTGTCAGTGAGACGGGATAGAAACCGATGATGATGTGTCAGTGTCTGGTTATTCGGATATCTTGCTATCTGCCTATCTGGCTATTGCCCTGTCCTTAGGTTTGTTTTCTGTTTTGTGAGGTTTGTTTTCTGTTTTGTGTGAGCACATCCCACCCAAGTGAGCTAGCAGCACACAAGTATTTGTGACTGTGCGCGTGTGCTTGATTTGCTACCAGTGAGGACCAGACTGCACTTGACAATACCACGATTGAATCCAAACTTATTGCCACTTACAGCATTGGGATGGCGGACTCACTGACAATTGCCAAATAGAATGTGCGATCATTATATCATCCGTATTGTGCTGGACTTTCAGTTCAGATGCAGCAAAAATGACAGTATGTTTCTATTCGGGTGAAGGCGGTAGTGCACTGGGGCGATGATGCAGATACAGCAAACTAACACTGCCATCAAAATCATCATCATCAGAGGGAGAGGGGGGGGGGGGGGGGGGGGGGGGGGGGGGGGACATTATCAATTTATCATGCAATAAGCGGAGTTCAAATGAGACTGTGGAAGAACGCGACACAGAAGTCTGGAAAAGAGGAGCCACAGGGGGTGGTCACAGACTGTTTTTTATTGAAGGACTCGCACTGACTGATCATCAGGAGGCTGAACCCGAGAGAGAGAGAGAGAGAGAGAGAGAGAGAGAGAGAGAGAGAGAGAGAGAGAGAGAGAGAGAGAGAGAGAGAGAGAGAGAGAGAGAGAGAGAGAGAGAGAGAGAGAGAGAGAGAGAGAGAGAGAGAGAGAGAGAGAGAGAGAGAGAGAGAGAGAGAGAGAGAGAGAGAGAGAGAGAGAGAGTCTGCAGAGTGCTTTGAGTGATAATCGGCCGTAAACCCAGTTCTAGTGGCAGGCAGGCGTAAGAATGCAACAAGATATGCAGCAGCAGGACGCGCCAACGGGGTTGATTAGGGGCCAAAGGAAGCAGCAGCAAGGCACAAGGGCAAGAGGATGGTGGGGTCAGCCGGGTGAACACATAGTAGCAGGGCAAGAGAGTAAACAGCGGCAAAGCAGAATGGGCAGAAGGGCAAGCAGCAAAGACGCCACAAGGGCAAGAGGGTCGGGGCCCGTAGCTGTGGGCATACAGCGAGTGGCAACCGGCCAACAGTTGGCACTGCTATAATCCTGGTTGCTATGGTAAAGTAAGCTCGGGTCAATTCAACCACTAGTTTCTCCTGATCACATCGGTTCACATCAGAGATTCAGAGTAATTCAGGAAGAAACAAGACAAAGATATAGCACCAGTGAGAAACGAAGGAATCAGGACCCCCTCCCCCCCCCCTGGCACACACCATCCCCATCCAGCTAATAGTGCATGCATAAGGCATTGCAATGAAGCCCTGCCAAAGTATTTGGCACATCGAGCATCGTCCTCCAAATAGAATGTGTTCGGGACATCTGTTAAAATTGGAACGATACAGAGAAGGTTAGCACGGCCCCTGCGCAAGGATGACACGCATAAATCGAGTAATGGTCCAAATTAAAAAAAAAAAGAAAAAAAAAAAAGAATGTGTACGGTCATTACAGCTGAGTTTGGGGCAACTTTCAGTCTATAGATAGAAGGATAATGACGGTGCATTGTATCGGGGGAAGAGGTTAGGTGTGGTCACTAGGCACGCCGATGAGAGAGGGGAGAAGTACAGGAACACAGTGAAGATGAGTGCCTAGCATGAGGATTATCCCTGGTAAAAGTGAACGAACAAGGAGTATGCCTGTGTTTGTGGGATGTGGGCTGCTGTGTGTGTGTATGTGTGTGTGTGTGTGTGTCTGTTCTGTGTCACATGTGTCTGTGTCGGTTTTCTGTGCACCTGTTTGTCTGTGTGGCACGCAAGTAAAATGGCATCCCTCTCGTGGTTGACCCCCAAAAGAAATAAAAAAAATCAACGAGAGGGCCGAAGAGGTATCTTTGTGGTTGAGCCGTTGAGCTGACCATAACAGTTTAGCAATGCCGTTTTTTTTTTCTTTCCATTTGTATATATAAATTTATAAAACTAATATAACTAGTTAGACCGCCGTTGAAAAATGGCACATTTCCAGCATGTCAAAGTCGACCTCCTATATCGAGGCGTTCCAGCGCTACTTGCAGTTCTGTTATGCTGAACTATCTTACTCTTTGCTTCTCGTCCTTTGTCTGTCATGCTTGCCGGGGATAAGTAACCAGACTGTCGCCCCCCACAACAGAAGGGGCATGTGTGATCAGGGAAAAAAAAAAGAAAAAAGAAAAAGAAAAAAGACCTATATAGAGTAGGGCTATATATGACCACGAATGGTTTCATAGCGGTGATTGCAGGATGATCAGGCAGAGGGAGGAAAGGTGGGAGGAGACCAGAATGAAGAATCGTTTTAGGCGGACAAATGTACCTCCATAAGGCTCCTTGAGAATTCTTTCAAGGAGGCAACAACAACCCCGGCGGTTCACTCCCCACCATTGGGAGAGGGGCCTGCCACTATTACGGGTTCCAGAGGAGGG